GAGTCTGAAGCATACGAGATCGAAGTTCATATTTGTAGATTTTCGCAAATTTACAGCAGATAATTTACTGTCGATCAGTGAAAATCAATAATGAAAATCGACAATAGTTTCAACACGAAAGGCACTCTATAATGTTTATTTGGTGCTACGCGATTGAAGTTGAAAGGGGATTAACAACATACTGTCTCTTGTTTTGATTGGATCGGTCGATGTGAAAACGTTACAAGCGCCTCAGTTCTGCTAGATTTATTGTACATAGAATAACGCACGCAGAAAGGCGAATTGTTTACAGGGATTTTAATTTTGTTAAGTAGACAATTCTGTGGCGATAAAGAGCAGTCGGTTAAGGTAGTACTATGTTACATGTCTTCTGTGCTATGTCCGAGGAATTTCGCTTAGAGTTACTGGTCGCTCTGATTCCATTTTTTTATACTAGATCTGTCAGATGTTCTTTTTCGTGTTAGAACAATGAAATTATATTGTTATTCTTTTTTAACCGCTGCATTTTAATAGTTTTATAAAATATTATTTTATTTTATTTATTTATTTTTCCAGTACGTGAATTTTCATTAATTTTCTGACTAATGTCTTTTTTCCTGAAGTAGTGTCCTGCTCGAACCCGCCAACCCAAAACCACACGCGCCCGGCAGCCATGTTAGTAACATGGCTGCCGGGCGCCGATTTACGAGGAAACTTCGCCGTTGTTTATAAAGAATTGTGAGAGACGTCACGCCATTGTCTGACATCACTTCCTGCGTCTGCTGATGAGGGGTTAAGGACCTCGTCAAACGAATCTATTTTCTATTTTAAAACGCCTGAGCTTCGCTTCAGTGGACGTTCGTAGCTCCAAGAATACGTCGGTCACTGCCACATTAGAAAACAAATAATAATTTCAATATCTTCAGAGTGTTACAGAAAAATTCACGTTTATTTGCACATTGCGTTTAAGTCTGCAATAGTCTTTTAGCGAGATCATCACGTTCGTATTTTATAATTCAGTTACATGCTTAATCATTATCTCGAAATCGGTAGGGTTAGATATTTAAGTCGCTTTCGTGTTAAACCCTTAAAGTCTTTGCCTCTCTAACGTCGTATTCCTTTAGAGCGACAACGGAGTGTAATTTGTGGTACACGGTATCTTTCTAACAGATGTCACCCAGAATTTTAAAACCAATAATTAAAATGGAAGTGTTTAATGTATAATTATATGGAAGGTAACATTATATTAAAACGAAAAAAACATAGTTATAAAACCTCCCGGATCTTATTTTTAAAGGCATTAGTGTTTCCTCCACCTCAGAAGTCCGCAGGGTCACATTGTATTGTTGGTTCCAGGCCGTTAGGTAGTGTAAGGACTCTGAGGTGTAGAATGGCACAGTATTCATACCGAATTTAGTTAAAATCGATTGGGTAGCAGCCTAGGAGTGTAATATCAAAATTTATCTTTTTAAAAATGGGGTGTTAAGATTTAGATCGTATTAAAGTGGCTCACATTATTGTCCAATTGTGGGATTTTGTGAATACTGTGGCGATCACTCTAATTCCATAAAAGCAAGGGGAATATCTTCACCAGCTGGGTATCGATTATCTTTGCCAGAAAGTCCCTGAAAGCACGTGTGAAGTTTTATAGTTGTTTTTATTACAATGCCCACATCAGAGAGACCTTTAAATGAATGAAAACGCATTACACGAAAACATAAAATAATTCAGTGCGTCTTCTCTTAATTTGAATTTGAGGTGGCGACGTTTTATTTAATTTAATTTTATTGTGCCTGAGGTATTTTCATTCGACTTCGCCCCTCGTCCTCGACATTAGCGCGGACCCCGCATGCTCTGTGTGATTTAATTAGTTTATGTACTGTGAACTTCAAGATTGTCAACTCTGCTACGTAATTATGCCCACTTGCTCTGAATAAAACCAAATATTCCTACGAAGTTGTGAGAATATTAGTCCATGTGGTTCATGTGGATTATACTGTAATCACAGCGCTCCCTCTCATATCACGTAATTAATGTCTTTAATTTTAGGCACTAACAAACGAAATTTATAAAATCATTAAGAATTAAATTTTTTCAATCAGCGAGGAATGATTTAGGTAACCTAACACCGCCTGATTACCTAGAGGTGGTCTAGCGGTTAGAACGCTGGCCTTGTAATCCTGGGGTCTCGGGTTCGATTCCCGGCGGTGCCCGAATTTATAACTTGTGTTGGGCAAGGCCGTGGTCTAGGCAACACGGAGTTTTCCTCCGTGGCATCCCAACAATTCCTCCATTCACACACAGAAGAAGGCAATGGCAAACCACTTCTGGATCATCTGCCAAGAACGTATATGAACAGATCCCAGTCCGAGAAAAGGATGGAAGGATCCTGTTCATATGGACCTGTCGTCAGACAGAACACTAAATAAATAAATAATAAAATAACACCGCCTGATACAAAAAATTTCTCTTCTTATTAACTAACTTAACAACTTCATGGAAGCCAACAGAATGCTCAAGAAATTCCCCACCTTTTATAGAGCCCTGAGGTTCAACATCTTATTAACAAGAGCCCGCCAAAGGTCCTTGTCCAAACTATTCCAATGTACATTCTAAGACTTTGTTTCCTTAAGGTCCATTTTAATATTATCCCCATCTGAGTCGGGTTCTTCCAACTGGTGTGCGCATGTTTTGCAACCCTCACCCGCGCTACATGCCCAACCCATGTTCCTTGATTCATGTTCTTACCTTTTGATTGTCTAATAATAAATCCTTCTTTGCGTGAACTTACGAGATGCGTTCTGTGAATGACGTGAAGTTCAACGCTGCTCGCATCGCTCGTATTACGAACAAATCAAACACACACACACGATGAGATGTTTCGCCTTCGTTGCCAATGACAACAGGAAATCAATTAGTCTCGCAGCTGGAGACCCTTGTTTCATTCTTGCACTTCTATTTCTTACGCTGTCTCTTTGAGGTATGAAACAAGTAGTCGCACTGTGGCACGGAATTGGCCCGGCGCCCTCTCTCTCTCTCTTGAGATTCCTTACACGAACCAACTTATCCTCCTAACGTCTCCCTCTGATTTCTCCAAGTGGTTCTTCGAAATTAGTTCGGTCAAGATCCTACAAACATCGCGATCCGAGGCTGGTGGACCAGTTGCTGACCTCTGGCACGTGTAGAAGAAATTCCGTAGACTCAGTTTCTGAAACTGAATGTTCGAACTTCATACGGACAGGTTAGTGTAGCGGTAATACTCTCAACTTGTATTTGGGTCACACGCGACTCTACTTCGACGGATCACTGCCTGTCCTCGACAGATTTTTCGCTCTTATATATATATATATATATATATACACTTCCGTTTTAATATTATCCTCTCGTCTTCGCTAAAATTGACTTGACGATTTTCAAATCAGATTTTTGTGTGGTTTTCCTTTTGTTATGATTCGTGGTTCATTTTATGCGAACTTCACCGCTCTTAAATCATACAAATTATGAAAATTCTTTTGTAATTTTCATTGTTGCTATGTTCCCCTTCACTTGTTTAATGAACACGAAATGTTTGTAATGAAACAATAGTGCAGATCTTTTTTTTATGACAGATCATGCTTCATACACGAGGCACTTGACTCGAATTTTCTCTTTCACGCCGTAGTCACTTTCCTTCCAAATCCATACCCTACAATTTTCGCTTAAGCTTTTCAGGTGGAAAAAGTTTTTTTAGGATTTTATTGCCAAAACTTCTGCGCATCTTTCTCATTTCTCCCACGGGTA